CCATATGATAGCACCCATCAAAACCACAGTACAGAGCAATAACAGCCACACAATTTCTTGCTTAAAAAGGTATATCTAGAGTTGCTTACCCTCTCAGATTAAATTCAAATACTCCCAATTTGTACAAAGACTGCTATGAGAAAGCCATCCTGCAGGTTAGTCCCTTTGAATTTTAATCTTAATTAACATAACAACAATAAATTTTAACAAGTACCTCTGCAATAAAGTTTTCAGCTGCGTTTCTAGCCAGTGGCGATGTCATTTGATTGACATAGGCAATGGGACTAAGCAAGGCGGCTGACCTCAACATGTTCGATAACTTAAACTTAGAAAAAGCAGCCAGTGCAATTAAAGTCCCCTACAGAGCAGTTTGTTACTTTGCTTCTTGATTGAAACAGACGTCAGAGAAAACAGCATACTAAGTTTACCTGTGAGTGTCCAATATAGTGCAATTTTTGTCTTGTTAAATGACGAACATACTGGATTGTTGCTGGAAGATCATAAGCAACTAACTCATCCCATGACCAGTCCCAATAAGCCTGAATAATTGAATCAATATAAGCAACAGATTCAATAGGTAGAGACACACTGAGCAAGGTCTTTTTCAATTATTTGGTCAACACCCTTTTTCCCATCAATACTGCTTTGTAAGAAACGGTTAAACAAAAAGTTCTGAAACAAGAAGAAATTGAAAAGGCAGTCAGTAGGCAGAACTAACCGAGCCATTCGTGGCCAGTGATGTGTGTTGACGGCTATACTTGGTTCCGCGAGTGTTAGAAAGCCATACATCAAACCCATTGTCTGCTAACAGGAATGCCAGAGAACGGCTTGGAGGTAACAAGAGCCATGTTATAGCATCCTGCAGCCACAAACTTTGCATCAATTTCCATCATCAATGACAAAAACCAAGCCATAAACTTGCTTTTAAAAATTGAGAGTGACCATGAAAAGCCCGTGCTGTAGCAGAACTGGTGGCCTATTTCTCATTGACCCCCCTGATTGCCCCACTGGAATTCTCTGCATGTTGATAACATAACCATCTCGAGTTGTCACCTGAAACGCATCAATCACACAAGAAACCCATCAGTAGGTGCTCTAAAACCTTACTAATTTTACGATGATGATCGGAAGAGAGAAACAGATGCAGAGAGGAATATGAATGTCAATTACCAAGTGTTTTCACAAGCATAGCCCTGCGTCTTCACCATTGATGAGCAGATACCATCTCTGGGCGCTATCTCCATTGCAGAAGTACTGATAGCTGATACCAATTCTGTTCTTCTTGTTTCTCCAAGAGATAACCCAGAAAAGAGAATAATGACAATGATTATTGCGAGCGAAGTCTCGGCCATGCTCTGGTTCCTGCTACATCTCTACCTTCTCATTATGACATTATTTATACACGGCTAAACAGAGAACCAGATAAAGACAGAAAAGAGTATTCACATGTCTTTTAAAACCCACCACCCTCTTTTTCAACAGATTCGCTTGTGGTTTAGAACAGGCCCTCTGTGGGGTCTTCCCGGTTTTCTTATATTAAAATTGATGATTAATACGCGAATGGTAATCATCACGGCTGAATAGAACAGGCCGGTGTGGACCCCATAACAAGCCTTAATCATGTGCCTTGCAGACAAACGATTTTGTCATAGCTAGCTACTCTTTTGTCCAGAGAAAGAGAGAGAGAGAGCTATGCATTTCACTGGGGAATAGGAAACTTGGCATGGATACCTATACGGGTTGAAGTATGAAGGCTTAGTAACTTATCTTCCATAAACTCGTCAATTAATTCTGAAACATATGATTTTAAATGCCTTCTTATGTCAATATTTTTTTTTTTTCATATTGATTTTCAGCTGTATGTAAATACTCCTCCAAATCTTTGATATAAGACTTATTTAACTAATTTGATAAGTTAAGAAAATTAGATAGTTAATTAATTATAAGAAATATGATACTACCATCCGGTCCTTATTATAAGACCCCGTTTGACTTTTTGTTTGGTCCTAATTATAAGACCCCAATCCATTTTGTCTCTTATATTTTATACATTTTTTTTCCAAAATAATCCTTCTAATAATGATAGTTCTAGCCAATAACTTAATTAGCAAGATATTTTAGGAATGAACAACACTTATTTATTACAAATAACTAACTTAACTTACTTCCTTAATCTTCTCAAATAAGTCAACTGGGTCTTATAATTAGGACCGGAGTATATGTTTTTTTTTCTAAAACATCATAATCATCTTTTTTTAATACCCTCCCTTTCTAACTTATTTGATTATGGTTGAGGGGTATCCATAAAAGTAATTTAGAAAAATTGATAAATATAAAGAATAGATCTTATATTTAAAACTAAAATTATCTTAACAATTAGGTTCTATATTAAGAACATAAAGAGTAATAGCTAGAAACGACTGCGCAATATCAAATAAGCCTACACTAAAAAAATCCTTAACATGCACCTGACCTGAGACACCTTGGAACTTTAAGTCTAGAAATAGTCTATATTTATGAGATTACGAGAGTGGTTTGGATAGAAATCAAATCATGATTTTCAGATGTGCTTTTTCGGTTACGAAATAAATATGTGAAAGAGTTTGTCTCGTTTTACAAAAAGTACTTCTGAGAAACACTTCTGAGAATTGCCAAACCTCACAGCTCGAGCATGCCTCTCTTGGGCATTTTCTTTTATCCATACCCAGATAATTTAACAATTACAAAAGAGCTTATGTTTATCTTGTATGAAATAGAGAATCATGCTGCACCATTAAATTAGATACAAGGAACGTCCCGTTGGCAAAAAAAAAAAAGATCAAGGAACGTCCATCTCAAAAAGTCTATTACGGTTTTAATTGTTTTCAAACGTCTTCACTGCAGCTCCTGGCGCTTTGGATATGATTGGTGCCATGCATCATTCTTCCAGGTTTTAGCCGGCGAAGCCATGGCCATCTTCTAGGTTTAGATCCATCCTAGAATTTTGATCTGCTCCTTTCTGGAAACCCTTATTTGCGAGTCAGCTTTCACCTTGCTATCCCAGGCCAAACCAGCTCGTCGGGTAAACAGACTCGAAGCTTAAAATTTTGCAAGTTCAGTTCAAACGAGATTACATAGATTCAGCATACACGATGAGGCAGCCAACCCGCAGCATGCACGATGAGGCAGCGAAACATTTCAGGGCAGAGCCTGTTTGTGTCTGGCATAACACACTCAATAGGACATTCAAGACTTCAATTCAATAGTCCTTGTTCCAGCATCTCTCTCTCCCTCTCTCTCTCTTCTCTGTGTTTCTTTTATTGGGACTAAGTTTGACAATGAACACTTGGAAGCCAAATGAAGGGAGAGAAAGGCCTTCAAAGTTTCCTGCATTTAGCTCCAAAATAGCACATCAAGCACCACAAACATCAAAACAATTCAATATCTCAAGTGTTAATATTGTCCAACTTCGGCTTCCCTTGGACATGCTCACTCGGCAAAGTAAGATATCAAATATAAGCTCACCTGTAGGCAAAATATAAAATTTTTCCCTTTGTCAGTGACATCTGGATGCAGTCAATAACTTTTACATGGTACCCATAAAATATTAACCCATGTTTTTTAAGAAGATTATTCAAGTGCATATCACAAACCATAAGTGGGCAAGCTTAGACTGTGACCCCCATACAAAGTGTAACATGTAGCTGACAAGTTGAGACACAAGGGAGCCATATTGATTCATTCATTGCTGATAAGAAAGCCAGCGCCCCAAATATGAACCTGGGAACTACATGTTTGGAAACCCGTGTTGATTCGATAACCGCTGTAGACCCACTCGAGAAATTGACACAACAGAATCAACTTTATAAGAGAAAAAGCAAGAATTATTCCATTTAAGCAACAAAGGAATCTCATCTCAAAAGCAAAAAACCAGGGAGCCAGAAAAAGCACATTTAAGAAAACACCTAAACAAGTCATGGCAATAATGAGATTGAGGTTCCAAACTTCCAGTTGTAAAACACCATCCGAATCCTCTCAAATTAATCCTACTGCAGTCAAAAGAGAAAAATTTCATAGCCATGAATTTTCGCAAACAGTGAGCATAATAAAATACAGAAACAAGAAACACAAATTGATCATTACAACTTGCAGCGATCACATTGCCTCTTCGCTCTGTTCTTCAGGTGGGTGGAACCATATCAGGAACTGAATTGATTCCTTAAGTCTGACCTTAGCCAATGACCACTGTATAATGCATTCTACTCGAGACGCAATGGCGCTGATCGAACAGCCGATCAGAGGTTCGGTCAGGAAATTCCCAGAGAACCCGAATCGAAACTTTCTGGAAGAGAAAATGTTAGACTTTCCCATGACTCCATCGCCAGCGGAGGCGTGCACCCCAAATTTGCAAGCTTATGCATAAAATTTGTGTATTAGATTCCTGTCTCATCTATGAAACAAGGGAAAGCTCTCAAATTTGTTTGCAATGGCAAAAATAAGATGAATGAAATAGAAATTATGAGATTTTAGTTCTCACTATAAGACAAACTCAAACGCAATGCCATGTCCCACCCAACCAATTATCCTAATCCCATAAGCAAATATGCATCAAGACGATGTCGTTTCCAGAGGGAGGAACATGTGAATGTGTGAAATATCGTCGTTTTCAGCATTTGGCATTTGCCTAGTGCGCTAGTGCAGAGAAGATAAACGCAAATCGTCTCTTTGAGCAGCAGGTCGTCCGCCATTGTTAGTGAAAGCTGTAAAAGGTTGAGAAATGCCTCTCTCGCTCTTGCAAATATCCTCTACTTCTCCTCTATATTCCACCTACAATCATCTTTATCCGACGTCTATCTTGCCCAAATCCCTCTTCCCTACTTTTCATCTGGAATCAAAGGCCTTGAAACGATGGATCTTTTCCACTAAGACAACACTGCACCAAAGAATACCTAAAAACTGGCGCTGTCCATGCTTCTTTGCTGAGACTCCAGTTTTATGGGCAGGCAGGCTTTGTATCTTTTATGCCCTCCTCAAGGCTGGATTGGCTGGATCTCGAGAAAACCCGCTCGTCTCAGGTTTATGTCTACATCCTGCTTCGCGTTATCTGATTTTGTTTTCGAGTTTTGAACTTGCACATTTGGATTTGGACTTTATCCGGACAGGAATTTTAATGCGTCCTTATTTATAAGTTGAATATCTGCTGCAGATTTGGAGATTGATAGCAGTGATGAATCTGGTGACTTGGGGTTCTCTAAGTGGACTCAAAGTATCCTGGGTAAACCAGGTGTGCTAAGCGTCCTTATTTTCTGATCTTATACTTTGGAGGTGTAATGTTCTTTAAAACCTTAGGCCATGTGCTTTTGACCTATAAATACAATGTTTCATGTAGATCTGTACTCATTGAATGCATTTCCTAGGGAGAATTTTATTTGTGTTACTGGGGATTATCAGTTAGCTGTTAATTGTCACTATCAGTTACTGAAGGAAGTTAGTTAGGATATAATTGATTATAACCACCTATTGATCCTATGCAATTACCGATCAGTGCATAATAGATTTCTTGTTTGGCAGCCCGAGGCTATCAGTTTCCATATCATGGTATCACTGCCATGTTTTGATTAGGGAACATAGTAATTAAGGACCCAGAAAGTGCCTCAAAGTGTAATTTATATCCAAAATATATGTGCTCTGCCCAGCTGTCATGTCTATGCTTCATACTTACAGTGTAACTTCCTGGAATGCCAGTAAATTTACCTGGTCCATGACGTCCAGGTCAATGGAAAAGTGGCTTATGTGCCAGACGTTTAAGTCCTGGTGGCTAGTTCATTTTTCAGGCACATGTTTATTCAGAAAAATAATAATGAATTGCGATAGGCACATGATGCATAGTGATCTTTTTCCTTACTTGTACTTTTGTGCTTATAACATCTTACTTTTCTAACCATAGCCTGCCTAGAGTGAAAATCGTCTTATGCTAGTGTTTGTCTTCTCAGTTAGATATAGTTGTGGTGAAACATATGAGATGGCAGTAATGGATAAATACAAGCATGTTGGTTGTTACCGTATGATGGATACAATAATCCTTTGGAATTGATGTTGCTTATGGTTTGCAGTTTTCTGGAAAATTTTTAGGGCGAATACCTCACTTTGTGAGGATATTGATTGAGTGATTTCTCAAATGTAGCGATTTTAGAAATTGACAGAATATCCCTGGGCGATTCTGGAGTTCTGAGAAGGCCTGAGTTATCATTTCGTTGCCATTTATGCAGGTCTTTTGGGTAGCATCCAGGAAGCAGGAACATTATAAATTGTTATTGTGCTTCATGTGGGGGATTGTGCATAACTAGAGTATAGTGCAAAATACTGAAAAGTCACCTGTGAATTCTCTTTGTATTTTTAATACCTTGCTGCACAATGAATATATGTGGAAAATTAATACGTGGATAACTAATGCTTGCCATGCATGGATCCTTGATTGGCTTCCTTTTTATACTACATATAATTTACATGTTGCTCTGCGTGGGTAACTTTTGTGTAGTGCTTTCTTTTCACTGTGAAGTTTTTTTCAATTTAAAACTGATTATATAGGGATTTTTTTTTTTTTTTAGTTTGCATTTATTTTCCTGACTTAAAACTGGTTTTTTTTGGGCAATTTGTGTTATATATTTCTTTTCTCCCTTTAACCAGCAAAGCAAGAAGTTACTGGAAGGAAGCTGGTAATCAAATGGCATGCTACAACCAAGGGCACACTTCGAAGAAACTACAGAGTCCGATCAAAGTCTGAGGGAAAGCGTCTTCTTAAAGCTGTTGCATCTCTATTGTCCGATGATGATCACTTCACTGATGCCACCTCTCACAAGGTTCTATATTTCCCCTCCTGTTTTACTTCAACTCTGCAAAAACCTCCGTCAATTTTTTTTCCAAAAAAAAATAGAGGGTTAATATAATTTTTGGTCTTTCAAATTTGTTCTCATTTTGGTTTTGGTCCTTCAAATTTTAAACTATAGTTTTTGGTTCCTGGGAAAACCTTGGAGGTACTTATATTTTTTTTCAATTTTCAATTTGGTACCTATGTGTTTTTTGTTTTTAACTAAATCTTTAATTTTGTTCTATTAACATCATTAATCCTTATGTAGAGACTAAAAATATCAATAGAACAAAGTTATAAGAGCTAATGTTGCTAAAAAGATAAAATTAAATGTTTAATTAAAAGGAAAAAAAAAAACATAGGTACCAAATTAAAAATTGAGAGAAAGTATAGGTACCTTCAATATGGTTTTCCCTTTGGTTCCTCTAGGGGCAAAATGATCCAAGTTTTTATTGGATTATAAGGACCAATATTTTAAATTTAAAAAAAAATTTGAGGGACCAAAACTTATGGTTTAAAACTTGAGAGACTAAAACCAAAATGAGGATAAACTTAAAGGACCAAAGTTTGTATTAACCTAGAAAAATATTTCCTCAGTATCACTGTTTATGATTTAAACTCTTCTGTTCACTTTCCCATTTATCCAATTACTGGAGATGCTGCTTCAGGCTCTGTGATTTGTCATGTGGCACACTCATATTCATCCGGAAAAATAACGGATGATATAATTGACTGTTTTATCAACAAAAAAAAAAAAAAAAAAAAAAGGAGGATGCTAGAGCTTGAAATGACATCTATCTTTAATCGATTAAGTTGAAATGACCTCTATCTTTAATAGATTAAGGGGGAGATGTTTCAATAATGAGGGAAATGTTTGGAGCCAGGTCAAGCTTAAGAGAGTTAATTCCATGATGTTCTTATTTTAATTGAACTTAAACACATGCTCAACATGACATTTTGGTGAGGCCATTGCAGGGTTGTCAAATTAGGAGGGAAAGTGCTCATGGAGAGAGTGTGTGTTGCAACAATGTGAGAGCTCTTTTTGATGAGCTTCCAACTCCACACCTGATTGTAGAAATCACTCCTTTCCCTTCAGGATCTCTCACTGAGAAGGATTACACTAAAGCAGAGAAGCTTGAGAAGGTTCTCAGATCCAGTCCTTCTGTGTGAGCCATCTTAATTTGGTGGTTCATGCATATTCCTGTACATATTCAGGGCTAACTTGTATATACTTATGATGAACATAAGCTTTGGACAATTTTCAACTCAACGCTGCACTGATTGAGTTGGACCTGGAAAATAATCTGATATCAGTTTTTTTTTTACTTTCATCTGATGCCAATTTGTCCAGTGTCTTCCGTATGCTTTCCCACTTGTGAACTCGTGAATTATCTTGAGTAGTTTACATCATGTTAGGTATGCTAAATATTAGCCACAGAAGGGAAAAGATAATTAAAGATGATTTTAGAAAAATGACACTCATGTCTTTAGATAAAATAAATTAACTGAGAGGTCATCATTGTTATGTAATGCTCTGTTACAAAGTGCAAGTCATCTCCCCCCGTCTTTTATGAAAGACATTTAAAAGGATTTTCTTGATCCTGTTTAGAAGGGATTCTAACTTTGTCTCAGATACTTATAGGATTCTCTTGACTTATGACATTATTGTTATGAACATCGAGAGTTTTGTGTTGAAGTCACTTTACTCGAGTAGTTTTTCCCACTATCCTACTATTTAATTATTCTTGATCAAGAAGATGATAAGGACTTTGGTTTAGAGAGTTTAAAGGGAATCATTAGGATCTAATTCAGAAAATCAAGAAATGAGATGTTACGTTTACTTAATTAAAAAAAATGATATTTATTAGGGAGGATCATAAAAATCAAAATTATTTAGGGGGACAAAAATTAAAATATAAATTTAAAAATACTAAATTGACCCTAACCAAATTAAACTCCTACATTATCTCTGCCACAATCTATTTTTAAACTTTAAATTTCATTAAATTAAACAAAAATTTCCACAACTTTTGCAACTTGCTTACATATTTATTGGAAAAAAATTACATGAAGATTCTTCACTTTTCAAATTTTTTTTTTAATTTTGACAGATTTTTATTAAAAGAATAAATTTTTATAAGTTTAATAAGATTGAGATTTTTTATAATTTATTATATATGTTGCAGAAATGCTCTAGGTGTCTTGAATATAAAAATAAAATTTAGCCACGAAAAAATTTAAAGAAATTTTGCATAACTTTTGTATAAGAAATTTATGTGAGTTATAACAGTTTTAAAAAAAAGCCATGTAATGTGAATAGAATTTTAAAAAATCTAGATAATCGTTTATAATTTTTATGCAAAAGTGGTAGTCTGATGCTTGCATGAAATTGGAAGAATACTTGTGTGTAAGCCCACAAAAAATTTTCAATAAGTATTTTAATATAAGCAATAAAATTTATGATAAATCACATAAAAATAAATGATGATAAGGTTTGTTATTAACTTATTATTGTAGGGGAATAAGGCCTTTTCAGAATGTTCATATTCTAAGATATAAGGCAAAAAATTTAAAATTGGTATATTGTAGTTACAGATTGTAGTTACAACTCTTTTAAGTGAAATACAAATTCTTGTCTTTTTTCAATTTTTTTAATTTTACTCTTATATTTATATTGATATATCATGTAAGGATTTATGGTAAAAAAAAAATATCATATATAAATGGGATGGTTTTTGTTAAATGATTTTGAGGAGGAATTTTATAATACACACATAATATTTTTTTCGGGCCAACTAATGCACACATAATATAAAACTCTAGTAAATGATATCATTTATTTATAAACTGTAAATTATAAATAATGTTACTCATTTTTTATTATCGGGTAAGATACATGTTAATTTGTTCATAATTGGACTGTTATAAATTTTAAATTGATAATATAAATTGAGCGGAAAAGTTTAATGATGTAAATTGATTACTACAGATATTAATAATTAAATGATATTTGTATGATAACTACTAAGTTGTTGCGTGAAATGGTAAGTGGTTTGATCTCTGCAAGGAGAAAAACACAAGCTCAAGTTTTGGAATTAGTCTTGCACTCAAAGTAACTTGAGGATATTTTGAGTTGTGCAAAAGGAAAAAAAAATGATACCTTGATTGTAAGAATATAGATCCGGGTAAAACAGGTTAAAATGTCATTTTTGCTCTAAAAGTTTTCACGAAGTAACACTAACTAGTAGGAAGTTTTTTTTTTGGGAACAATGTCATCATAGAAGTTACAAAATCGTACCCATGTCAACCTACCCTAAGAGGATCAAACAATCAACCATTGGTTAACTCATTATGCTGAGATGGCATGCCTCTATCACATCCACCTCATTTTTTTTCCAGGTCAGTATTAACAAGAATTTGCCCATCTTGTTGGAATAATGGAAGAAAGAGAATGATACAAAATAAGTTATCCTTGGAGGAGTAAACTCTTATAAGCAAAGAAAGAGACAGGAGAGGACGAGGAGGAAGGTGGAAAGAGAGAGAGGTTTTAGTAAACCGAAATAGGGAGACCCAGCACTTGGAGATGGGAGAGACTAAAGAAGAACACATCTTTTCAAGAGATATCATTATCTTGCTAGAGTTTCACTAATGTTTGAAGAGATACCTGCTGTTTGAGGCCATTTTGTAATTTTCTTGAAAGAACACATCATTCCTTTAGCCATTTCCACATCCGTTGGCCCTTTTTCATTTTGAATGTTTTTGTTGCTAGCTGCAAAGCAATATTACAATCAAATAAGTCGCTCAAATAAATCCCCTCTTTGTCTCTTTTCCATTAGTCCAACATAAATGCGTAGTTTTTTTCTTTTTTTCTTTTTAATTTTTCAATTTTTAATATGATTTGGGAAAAAATGAGATGGATGCTACATAGGCATGTCATTTCAGTATAATAGGCTAACTAATGGTGGATTGTTTGGTTCTATTAGGTTAGGTCGACATTGCCATGATTTTACAACTTTTCGAAGTGATATTGCTACCAAAAAAAACTTCATGATATCAAATACTCTTTTGCGAAAAACCTTTAATCCTTAAAAAATATAAGGTAATGTTGATGATCCCCAACTTTTGTTTTAGTCTTCTTTTTTTTCAAAAAAAATTTTTGTTGCCAACTATGCAAGCACTTTACATTGTCACCTCAATGCCAGTGTCCCTACAGGCTACCTCCACAATGTTGTTCAAGGGTTGGAATAAATACTCAAATCCCATTGCACAGCTCAGGACTTCTTTTGCCAATATGTCTACCATTTCATTAGCTTCTCTTCAACACTAAGAAACAAGCACCTCCCAATCCCTTCTCAACATCTTCATAATCTCTGATATTAGACCCCAGCAGAACGGGTCTATCTCCTTCACTTTGCTAGTCATTTCCACTAGATCACAAAAAGTCTATTTTGAGGTAAAGGATGCCCTTGTCCTGTGCCATTTTATGTCCCTATATGGTGCATCCCTGTTGAGATTTACAAGGAAACCGCCCAACACCTCAACAAGGGAGTTTCTTATAACCACCTACAAGTAGACACACTATCTTTTCTAGCTGCCACATCATCCACATTAACCTTGATAAACTCTAGGTCATGTGGCGTCTAACTTTTCCCCTCCAAAATCACATGACCCATCCTATTAGAATGTGTTCTCCTCCATCATGTTAGGCAGTAACCATGGCCAAGATATTTGTGGAGGTGGTGTCCTTAGCATTGAACATGTTGGAGTTCCTTGCTAACTAAAGTTGGCAGTACGTCAAAGCAAACCAAATCTCCTATATGAACTTCTATTGTATGTTCCAACCAATCCACTCTGCTAGGTCATGACCTTATAATGATTTTGTTCCAAAGCTTTGTTTTGAGATGGCACCCTCGTAGTACATGAATGGTTGTCTCTATCACCTTATCACACACGATGCAAGCTAATGAAAGGCTCATGCCCTTTGCATGTTGATTGTCATTTGTAAGAGGCCTCTTATAGGCACAAAGCTAAAGAAACATTCTATCTTTGGGGAGCGTCTTCCATATTCTACGCTACAGCCATGTTCATAGTGCCTCACTTTTAATTCTCATGCTATCATAAGCAGACATGGTGGCAAAGTCTCTTACTAGGGCCAATTTCCAGCCTAACTTATCATCCTATGTTTTCCTGACTTGGTAGGATTTAACTTCGCACACCACATGGATTGGTAGATATCTGACAAGTACATCACATCACCAATTCCCTTGTTCATCTAATATTTTTGGACTCACATTCTTTTGCTCCTGAGACACTTCTTGTGTGGCAATGTCTACAAGTCACTCGTGGCTATTGCACCATTGGTCAAGCCAAAATCTTACACCATGTCCATTTCCTAGTACCCATTTTGTGAAAAGTTGCATGTTCTCCTAGCATTGCTTGATGCCTTGCCACGTTCTAGAGCATTTTCTCCTTTGTTCAATGTTTAGGACCAGGTTGTTACCGTAGCCATACTTCTCTCTGACAAATCTCAATGAAAGCACATCACATTTTTTCATTGGAGACTATCCAAGTTTCATTATAAAGGCATCATTCTACATCTGAGCCCTTCTAATACCCAGATCTTCCTCCTCTTTTTTCATGCAAACTCTTTCTCATGTCACTAGGTGCATCTTTATGCTCTAGTTGGAACCACCCCACAAGAACTTCATACATTGTTTATTGATGTCGTTGTAGGTCGAGCTTGGTAGCGGGGTCAATTACATCGTGTATACTAGAACAGAAGTCAAACTGAGGTGACTAGCGTGTTGTAGGAAGCTAAGGATAGTGTGTTGGCCTTCCAATTCAAATGTAGGAGATTTAATTTGGTACCACTTTGTATCTTTGTATTTATAGTTTAAAATTTGATCCTCCTTAATTAATATTGTTTTTTTAGGTCCTTTACTTAAATTTTTTCTATCTTTTTCAAAAATTGGTGGGAGATAGTTGGATCATTCAGTCTTTACAAAAATATTATTAGTTATTTGGATTAAAATATTAAAAATATTATTTCACAGTCGTCGTACTTAACAAAATTTTGGTGTTAATCAAAAGTTATTTTGTAGTCATACATAATTTATACGAAAAATTAGGGGTGTTCATAGGATAGGATCATTAGGATGAGACTAAGACAACTCTGTCTTGGTCCTGTCCCTATAATTGGGATGGGAGGACCTTTGCATCCTATGTCTTGTCCCATTTTAATGCCATCCTGTCCTATTTGAGATAAGATATAACTAGAATAGAAAATGATATCTCATTCACGTATTCTTTTTAATTTTTTTGAATTTTTTTATTTTATAATAAATGCATTTAAAACATAAAAGTTCATAATAAAAAATATATAAAGAAAATAGATAAAAATTGGTGAAAAATGACAATAATAAAAAATTAATAAAGAAAAATGTTTTTTAAAGACTTAAAATATATAAACTGAAAATAACCCCTAAAAGATCATATAACCCATACAAAAAACCTTATAAATTACAAACAACATAATCATACAAATTATAATATTATTATATTAATGATAATTAAAATAAATTTATAAAATTAAAAAAGATAATATGTCAATATGGAAGTAGGACAAAACACCCTGTCCTGAGACATTTTTGTCTCGTCCTGAAAATTTTTAGGACATGACAAAATGACTAGAATCGGGACAAAATATGAGTAAACACCCTTACAAACAATAACTGTTAAAAATGTTTCAAAAGTTCTAGAGAAAAGGAAGTACCTGGGGATTATACTATTTAATGGATTTTTAAAAAAAATTAACATTACCAACCGTGCATACGTTTCCCGCCTTGTCATGTATATATATTGCCCATAGTCTATTAATAATAGCTTGGACTGCTAGTTTGGTTTCAAGTTTCTTTAGCAATAGTAAATCCAAAGTTCTCCAACTGTTGTGGAGCTTATTTCAGTATTTGTGTACTTTGTATCACCATTTTGACTACTTATGCTGTGGTGACATCATCACTTTTACTTTGCCTATTATCATTTAGGCAAGTGGATTTGGAAGTGATTATCGTCTTTGGTAGCATGTGGAATAAGCCATATGTTGGTAACGATCTTTCGTTCTTTCTCATCTCTTAGTTCTAATTTAAATTAATCAATCTTTTTTTCTATTTATTAATTGGATGCCTAAAAATAGAACTAATTTTAGATATGGCGATGGGGCTTTTTAGGCATTCACTACTTTTCTTGGCGATCTTGTTACTTGGTGGAGTCATGTCTTGGTATCAGAGAATTTCAATAAACTCTTTTAGTAGCTAATTAATATCAGTCAACTCCCAAAACATTTCAAATTTCAGTCAACCCCTTTGAATTAAAATAAAATAAAAATTTAATGGTAAAATAATACCCCTCATTTTTATTTTTTTTAAAACAAGTATTTGTTTTGTTATATATATTTTTCTTTGCATTATATAATTAGGTGGATTGGTTGGCTTGGTGGTCATATTATTTTTAGTGTGCTAAGGGGTCATGAGTTCAAACCCTTTTGGCCACCTCATCTTATTTAAAAAAAAAAAAAATCCTCCAACCACCAGAGCCTGTGTGACTGGCCACCAGGGGTTGGTATCGGAGGTTGGTTAATATTTTTTTTAAAAAAAATAAAATGAAAGGGTATTATTGTATTTTTACTTTTAAATTTTAATTCAATTTTGATCCAAGAGGTTTGACTGAGATTTTGAAATGTTTTGGAGATTGACTGATATTAATCAATTATTACTAAGGAGGTTTATTGAAATTCTCCCTTAATTCTTCTGTTTGGAGAGATGAGCATGATTTTCTTTTCTTTTCTTTTTTCTTTTTGGAAATCTCTCATATGCACAACTCTACAATGTTCTTAATGCTCTGTTATTCAATGGTGCGTGCAATTGTTTTAAGATCTATTTAATTTTATTTATGTGAAATTATTCAATGGTGCGTGCAATTGTTTTAAGATCTATTTAGTTTTATTTATGTAAGATTATTCTATGGTCTGACCATTTTCGCTATGGACTAAAGATTGGGACAAAAGTCATGCCCATTGTCCGTGTTCTTCCATTGATATGCCGATTTGCTTTTTCCATCAGCAAGGTGAAATAAACCAAGTCAAAAGTATGTCAATCTATTGCTAGTAAATTTTGCAATAACTTTCGTATAATTCTTAGAGGTAGCATAATTATACTTTTTGACATTTTATTTTAAAATTTATGAACTTTATTTTCTTGTAAATGCAAATTTTATAATTAAATTAAATACTTTGTGTGCTGGCAAAAAAAAAAACACCCTCGTGAAGTTTTCCCCTTTTTTAATTCAAGAGAACAAAATAAAAAAGTTCTAATTGCTTTCGTCCCTGGATAATTGGATTTGGAAATTGGAATGGCCAGCTGACAGTGATATTAACAATATCTGTGTAGGCTTCACTGATGGTGGCCCAAAAAGTGTTTGACATACATCCAAAAGGCCCAACTAGCCCAATACATCTTGATGTTTGTTGATATTTTTAACAAAAATAAAATTTAAATCTCCGGTTAAAGTGGCAAGCATGAGCGGTGGGTGCAGTCGTGAGGGCTGTTTAAAATGGTTTATAAACAGTTTTTCAATCATGATTCATGTAATATAAGGTAAATATGTGAGAGAAATTTTGCTTTGATTTATATAAAACGTGATCATAAGTAATTTCAAATGGGGCTACAACGTAATTTTATTTTTATATTTAGGGTTAATATAATTTTTGGTTCCTAAAATTTAGGTCTATTTTAACTTTAGTCCTTCACATTTTAAATACATGATTTTAGTCCTTGGAATTTAGCCTGTCCTAAAACATTAATCCTTAGAAGTGTAACAGTTTTAATATCTACTAAAGTGCCATAAATAGCATAGTGTAAATTCATTAGATGATACTTAGTTGGATCTTGTGTGAATAACAGAAGGGAAAAAAAGAACAGGTCCAAAAAATGCAGCTCTTTAGAGTTTTTTCCCCTCACCATTCATTTTTAGGAGCTATTCACTCCAGTGCACTTTGTTATTCACACAAATCCAATTAGCTGTGATCTGATGAGTCAATATCAACACTTATAATGTCATTGATGATACTTTAGCATATTCTAATATCATGACATCATCAAGGGTTAACGTTTTAAGACAAGACATATGATAGGAACTAAAACTATGGGTTTGAAATTTGAAGGATGAAAATCAAAATGGACTCAAATTTTAGGGACCAAAAATTATATTAATCCCTTCTATTTATACAAGAAATCCCCAAAAAATGACTGTTAGATTTTAAAATTTTAAATTAGTATTGGTTATTACATTTATAAAAAGACAAAACTCAAAAAATAAATGACAACAAATTTTTATGGTAATTCTTTATTTGAAATTTTAAAATTTAACAGTCATTTGTTTTTGGAATTTTCTCTATTTATATCTATTTTTTCAGAAGAAAAAATATATATATATATCTATTTAACGTAATCTGAGATTTCAACCTTCTTTGCCCGTGCGTGTCTTTGCTGTGACACTAGAGAAAGGCCAGGCAAGGCATTGCGGGAAAGGTCTTCATAGGGAAATTAAATTATGTCATTATGAGGGAGAGAATTTTATTGGGAAAATCACAAATAAAGACCCCTGAATTACTGAAATTACGCAGAGGTCACCTGAATAAGGAAAATTACCGTGAGGGACCCAATCTCATATTGTAAATATGAAATCTTGATGAAATGTCTGAAATGCCCCTCAGTCAAATGACAAGTTGACTATAAGAAATGACAAGTTCACTTTAATAGATAACAATTTCAGTAGATCAAATCACAACTTGATTGAAGGTATGCTAAATGACAAGTTGACTATAGAAAATAACAAGTTTACTTTAGCGGATGACAACTTCAATAGACCAAATTACAATTTGACTGAGGGGTATTTCAGACATTTCGCCAAGATTTCATATTTACAATATGAGACTGGGTCCTTCATGGTAATTTTACTTATTCAGGTGACCTCTGCGTCATTTTAGTAATTTGGGGGTCTTTTTTTGTCATTTTCCCAATTTTATTTTCACAGTTATTATTATTTTTTAAAATTTAAACGGCAATTGATGACGTGGCTTCAGTTATGAAGCTGCAAGGGAAGTGATCGCGTGGACTGCTCTCGCCCTCAGAATGACGCTCCCGCGTTCTTTGGGCCCACTCCTCCCCCCCCACCTCAAATTTCTCTCTCTAGTTCTTCTCTCTCTCTCTCTCTGTGATCTCTCCCTCAGTCCAAACGCTCCTTTCCTCTCCATACTCCCGAGTCCACCACCACCACTCCTCCAAGATAATCCCCATCCCATGGACCAACTCTCCGCGGGGCCTCTCGTCCCCGCCGTCAAATCCGACCTCCCCAAGCCCCCGGCCACCGCCTCTGATACCCCGTCCGCCGAGCCTTTCATGTCTGAACCCGACAAGGATTTCTTGTGCCCGATTTGCATGCAGATCATCAAGGATGCTTTCCTCACTGCTTGCGGCCATAGCTTCTGCTATATGTGTATCAATACTCACCTCCGCAACAAGAGTGATTGCCCTTGTTGTGGCCACTACCTCACCAGCAATCAGTTGTTCCCTAATTTCTTGCTTCATAAGGTCGGTCTCATTTCCTACAGATTCTCTTAGGCTTGCGATTGCTAATCGTTGGATATTTCACCAAACTAAACACGCTTACTTGAATTGGATCCTATCGTCCTTCTGTCATGAGTTGGGTTTCATTGGTAGATAACCGTAACTGCATTCTGTGATTGCATTTAAGAGTACAAGTCTCTAAATTTCTAATTCAGTTCATGTTTGAGTGTTCCGAGTCATCTTTGGGGTTAGGGATTTTGGACTAGTGAAGCTTCTAGGTAAGATAAAATATGAAGTGGAGGGGGGGCTGGGAGTTTCTTTTGTTTATATTCACTCTTATTGGTGCAGGTATGACTATTAATAGTACCAGTCTCTGGAGCCTCCTTTTCATTCTAATTCACGATTTGTAATGTTCCTCAATTAACACCATCATTTTATGTGGAATCAGAAGCGTGAAAGTTTGACTATCTGATTCGAACATTATTAGTATCTTGAAATAGTCTACTTCGAAATGCAACTTATTGTTATACGGTTTCTGTACCACATTTGTAGCTACTTAAGAAGACATCCGCTTGTCAAGTATCAAAAACCGCCTCACCTGTGGAACATTTTCGGTTGTCATTGCAAAAGGTTGGTTGTAGTTAGACCTCACTTCTGTTATTAAAATTTCATTTCAGAAAAGTTATATCGTGATGTGGCCTATAAATTTACGTTAAGACGTTGTAATTGGTTATTTTTATTTGTGACTTTTGATCTGATTAATTATTCATTATAATTACTTGTGCTCTTATGAGAGAAATTTGTCATGCAAATGTGGATCCATGTCATCTTGTTGGTAAAGAGAAACTTAGATGTTCAAGCCTATACACTTATGGTACCTTTTTCAACGAGTGTTAATGACAGGGTATGTAATGCGTAAAGAAAAATCTATATGTCTGAATTTGATTGGAAAGTAATAACTTAGGTGTGTCATGTTTTCTTCCCAGTTTGTAAATGGTATTTTATGATTATGAGGTGGATTTTAGGTGAAAGCACGTTTGGATAATGAGGGAAAGAGATTTCCTGTTTTAAAATTTTTGCACCGTCTATTATGCCCTTGTGATCTATACCTTTTCGTTTAATCTTTTTTTTTTTTAATTAATTTTCTAAGTTGGAGCACAATATTGTTTTCCATTATAAGTTATTTCTTTCCTTTGTTTTTTTATTTCATTCCATTCTGTCTACCAAACAGGCAGGTAGCACATTTACATTGTAGATTATAATCTCTAATAAGACAAACTAAAGGTGGAGTACTAAAGATGCAAAGTGCTAGACTATTTATTTTGTTTAGTGTCTGTTGGACATTTTTTTGGACAATTTGTTTATCTGTAAATCCTGCGACAGGGTTGTGATGTGACAATTAAGGAGGTAGACTCCCTTTTGTTCCTTCTTGCTGAGAAGAAAAGAAAAATGGAACAAGAAGAGGCTGAGAGAAATATGCAGATATTACTAGACTTCTTGCATTGTTTAAGGAAGCAAAAAGTTGAAGAACTGAAAGAGGTTTGCTGCCAGCAACTCCTATCTACATATTTGTGACTATAGTATTGCTGGCTTATATTTCCTCTCCTTGAGTGTGCATTACTGAGTCTATATTATTCCAATCTATACAGAATTAATCTTATTTATGCTAATTATTGTAATAAAGTGGTGTTTTATTTTAGGTGCAAACTGATCTCCAGTTCATAAAAGAGGACATAAGTGCTGTGGATAAACATAGAATGGAATTGTACCGTGCAAGAGACAGGTACTCCGTGAAATTGAGGATGCTTGATGAGTCTGGATCAAGAAAGTCTTGGCATTCATCGATGGATAAGGCTAGCGGTGGCCATTTGTCTAGTCCTCTAAACATGAGAGGAGCGTTGTCTTCTGGAAGTCTTCCAAAGAAACTTGATGGAAAGGGCCAAGTAAGCTCACATGGAATCCAGAGAAAAGAAGCTATTAGTGGATCAGATTCCCAATATTTAAATCAATCCAGTCTTGCTTTAATTAAAAAAAAGCGGGTGCATGCACAGGTAGCACAGGTTTCATTTTCCAGTATCTGTTCAGATGTTTTGATTTATGTTTCATAATTTTCTGTGCTCACCTATAGTTAATTCCTAGTTGTTTCCTCCACATGAATTGATTTTCCCAATTTAATGCAGGTAAAAAACTTGTTAGGTAGCTCTTGACAATTTTAGACGAACTATATATTGATTCATGATAATGTTATATTGCTATCACAAATTTCAGGATTGATGTGTCAGTAGTAGCTTTGGAAAGCCCAAAAAGTTTCACCGCTCAAGCTGTTTGGTTTTACTAAAATTTAGAATGGCAGCAGTGAAATTAGGATCTGGTAAAGTTAAAACATGAGCTGCATTAGAGGAAAATGAATAGAAAACTTGGGAAGCTGAAGTCTCGGTTAATGTATGTTAGGGTTAGGAGGTTCTTATATGCAAGAGGATGTCAAACAATTGTTGAATGAGACTATTTTAGAGCTGTCAGCTTTATCAGTGGATTGTACGAGATCAAAACAGATATGAAACTGGATACGTTAGGATTGTGTAAGGAAGGGAACATAAAGTTGTTTGGCCATGAAAACGGATCTGAACCAGGCTTTAAAGGGAAAAGGGAATCAGATTGCAGGGAATATGCAGAAAATTGGAGCTGCGGGTCTGCCTAAGGATGGAATTACTTCAAATTGCAGTAATATGCCAAAAAACGCTATATGAATAATAACCAGGCCTTACATTCACTTGACTAGGTTATGTAATACAAGCTCTTTGTTAATAAAGTATAGCAGCATATCAGTTTTAGAAGCTTACTGAATTACTAAAATACCCCCTGAATCTAAAAGTATGGAGTCCGACTCAACAACTAAGATAGGCTTAGCAGACGCAAGATAACTTATAGGAGAATTACGGCAACACACATATCAAAATTTGTGTTTAGATACACACACACACGCATTGTGTGCGCGCTTTCAATCTTATATCATGTGGCTTGGGTTATTAAGAAAGAACTATTGTTATCTGTGTTTTCTCTCTTACCAATTTGGAATCTGTATACATTGTGGTTTTTTTGTCATTGGAGTTTTTTTTAAAACTTATTGGGCTGCAGTTCAATGATCTGCAAGAATGTTACCTACAAAAACGACGACATTTAGCAGAGAAGCCTCATAACCAACAAGAAAAAGATAAAAATGTTATAAACCGAGAGGGTTATGCTCCTGGTCTTTCGGAGTTTCAATCAGTCTTGACAACTTTCACACAATACAGGTATTCATTTCTGTCCTCGCTTTTATTTGGAGTCATTGGTTAAGTGATGCCAATTACTATGTTCCGGAGCATTGCAAAACAATTTATTGACATTTTTTCTTTTTCATTTGATATAGTCGACTGAGGGTCATTGCTGAAGTTAGGCATGGAGATCTATTTCATTCAGCCAACATAGTGTCAAGGTGAGTTGCTTCTATGAATTGCCTGTTTGTGGTATATCTTTGTTGTACCATCCCTCTATCATTGTGATTTTAGAAATTGGGGGAAGAACAATTTATAGCAAGTCTTGTGTGTGTCACAGCCTTTTTTGTAGAAGCAAAATATATCTGCATGAATTATGTGTGATGCCATTGTGGCCAGTATTGATATCACCCAAACAGCAGAAATCAACGTGAATATTATGTGGAAAAGAGGACATTAGTTAGTATGACTAGTCCATACCTTGTTTATTTGTTCTTAATGTACTCTCCCCGGTCCCATTATTATCCTAATGTAAGGTTTAAGATGGCTTAAACTACTGTGGTGGAATGAAATGGTTGTTTCACATTTACATTTGTGTTTGGGAAAAGGGCGGAAAGTGTTGAGTACCGTACTTACCTAGTTATTGAATTTTCCATCTCTATTACAGCATAGAGTTTGACCGTGATGATGAGTTGTTTGCTACCGCTGGAGTTTCCCGTCGCATAAAAGTTTTTGACTTCTCAACTGTAAGATGGGCATCTTTTTAATTTGTTATTATTTTTTTACCTTTTGCTATTCAGATTGACATGCCACCTCTGCTGAAGTTTCAGTTTGGTCTAACCGTGATTACATTGAAGAATCATACTACTACATATGAAAAAGAAAATTAAGAGATAGGGAACTGGACATGAGCTATTTGGCTCCTTAATAGCCATCTGCCAGAAATTTCCTAATCCACGATGTTTTTAAATTTGTTTCTGTCATACCATGGTTATCTTTATATCGACAGTAACAAAAAATTGGGGCTTTATTGATTCTTAGATGCCTATTTAAATTTCTTTGCCTCAACTATTCATAAGACTGCCAGGGAATTGTTATTAAAAGTCATGGTGATAGCTTTCTTTCTATGGTCTTATTGTCGTGTCAGCCAATTATCTGAATACGAGGGTAATAACTCTGTATGTTATTGCTTTCCAGGTTGTTAATGAACCTTCAGATGCACACTGTCCTGTTGTGGAGATGTCTACGCGCTCAAAACTTAGTTGCTTGAGTTGGAACAAATATGCAAAGAACCACATAGCTAGTAGTGATTATGAAGGAATTGTAACTGTCTGGGATGTAACCACTCGTCAGGTAACTTCTGAAATCATTATGTTCAGTTTGACATGACTAATACAATTTTAATTGTTATAGGCTGGGCATAACGTTTCATTTTTGTCACTCATGTATTATTTTGCTTGGGCAGAGTATAATGGAATATGAAGAGCATGAAAAGCGTGCCTGGAGCGTTGATTTTTCAAGAACAGATCCTTCTATGCTTGTTTCTGGCAGTGATGACTGCAAGGTGATCCAGAACATTCAACTTAAGTTTATCAAAATTCCCTGGCTTGCTTGTGTAATTTTATGCAACATTCAAATATAATTGATACAGTTTTGGGAAAACTATGCAAAATTATCTTTCTGGCGTATTAGCGATAGCATTTTTCTGTAACTAATTATAATATTTATGCATGATTTCACTATTCTCTACGCACTTTGCTTGGGTCAAATTCTGAATATGTTTTCCATTTATGTGCCTTCTCAGTAGCTTTGTATGTTTGTCACTGTTGTTTTATGCTTGTGACCTTGATTGTTGAGGCACTTGACAAGAAACCTTCACAAGGTATTTGTTTTATTACCTTTTATGTCCTTGCCAAATTTTGTCTATCTTGTGTATGGAAAAGGAAAAAAAATGGAGGAAAAAAGGAACAAACAAGCAAATGCTAGCATGACTTCAGTTGTTTGATGGTATGAAGATGCAATGGAAATGCTAATGGGAAACTGGTGGTGTAAAATGTTAATCCTATCTAAGCTTCAGTGATTTTGTGTCGTAGTGACTCATTTCTTAAGACTTGGGATATTTTGAGAAATAGCATGATGAAGTGTATTCTTTTACTTTATCATACTGATCAAATATATTTCATGTATATAGGGATTTTATATTTTTAAGTGATCATATTTTGGAATTTGTTAAATCTTCTTTCACTCTGAATTGTATATTCAAGGCTGAACAAACCAACAATAATGTGTGCCTTCCCAATGAGCAGGTTAAAGTCTGGTGCACAAAGCAGGAGGCCAGTGTCCTCAACATAGACATGAAAGCAAACATATGTTGCGTCAAATATAATCCAGGGTCTGGAAATTACATTGCAGTATGTACTTCTGCTCTCTTAGAAGACAATTCTATTTGTTAATGCTTCTTGAATTGATCCCAATTATGCAGTATCTTGTAATTTCTTTCATTTGAAGCCAACATACTGTTTCACATGGTGTTTCATGGCAATAACTATGGTTAAGAGCTGTCAGGGATTAGAAAAGTGCCGTAGGTTAAGAAAAAGTTACTTGTAGTGCACTCCAAGTAAGAAAGAATAAGTATCTCCGTGTGGTCATAGTATTTAGTATGCATAGAGATTAAAGGATTAGCTTTTATGAACGTGCTGTCATTGAATCTTTCAATAATATATTTCCCCCCTTACTTTTCCAATTCTGATCACCCAATATTCTGAAATGATGTCATCTTTTTTTCTTTTTTGGTGAAACATATCTTCCTTTCATCATGTAATCGATGTATTTTTCCCCCAAAAAAAAAAAAATTAAAATAAAATAAAACAAAAGTCTGAGTAGCTCCACGTCAGTAGAGGGTGCATCCGCTGGATATGAGATAAATTAGTAAAATTGTATCTTCACACCAACTACCAATAAAGTTTGTGAATCACATGCCTCTTCTCTCTCTCTCTCTCTCTCTCTCTGCCTTTTTTTATTATGGTCAAAAGTTTTCAACTCAATCTGATTCTTTTAAGGCTAAGCAATCTTAACATGTTTTACAGGTTGGTTCAGCAGACCATCACATCCATTACTATGATTTGAGAAATATCAGCCGTCCACTCCACGTCTTCAATGGCCACAGAAAGGCTGTTTCTTATGTAAAATTTTTGTCTAATAATGAACTTGCATCTGCATCAACAGATAGTACGCTGCGATTATGGGATGTAAAGGAAAATATACCGGTGAGTGATGAAATAGTTTCCATTTTGCTTTTGATTTTAGTGAAATTTATTTTACGTTATGTGTGTATGCCTATAATTTTTCGCTGTAATGCTTTCTTTGCTAATTTATCTGTAGCCTGCATGCATGCTAAAAAGTTTGGTGCCTGTGAGAATAACGTACAACCAAACATAGAGACAAAGAAGTAAATTGCTTTTGGTGGGGAAAGGGAATCACCTATTTCCCCAAATTCTTTTTATTTAAAAAAAAAAAAAAAAAAACCACCAACTTTTCTTAAGCCACAACCTATGTTGTGGTGGTATGCAATCTGGATTGCCAAATGTAACCATTGCCCAGAAGATGAAGAACAAAAGGAAGGAAAGAGGGCACTTCTGGGGGTGAACCAATATGAGTGTCCTGTTTATCTGTCGATCATTGTACAGTAATACTTCTATCCCCATTAATGGGCAATAATTGGCAATTTTAGATGTTGGTGTGTATTTTTCGATTATTGCAAAAAGTTTTGGTGTCTATTTATTGATGCATGATCTTAAGAAGATTAAACAATGGTTAAGTTCTTTGTTACATGAAGGCCTTTAATCAGTGATACTTCTGTGAGTTGTGGCAAGTCGATGGTGTTTCCCTGTATGGCTAGCTATCACAAGAAAAACTTTAAGTCTGACGTTATTGTCATTTCCGCTCGTTAATTTCAATCTGGAGTATACTCATCATCCAGAATATTGAAAAAGGATTGGAGAATCTTCTGTTGGTTACAAATTATGTTCTGGAGTACTAAGTGGTTACGAGTCTCATGGCTCATTGCTTAACTTTTGTGGTTTAATGATGTACTTCGACCTTATGGGTGCAATTATTTAGTTCTCCATTACAATTAAATTCTTTAATTTCATAATTTTTTTTAAAAAAACATGAATCACAATAAAAATTTTTAACTTCAAATTGTGTGTGCAGGTTCGTACTTTCAAAGGGCACACGAATGAGAAAAATTTTGTTGGTCTCACAGTCAACAGCAATTACATAGCTTGTGGCAGTGAAACAAATGAAGTGTTTGTATACCACAAGGTTTGTTAAATCTGATTATTTTGACATTTTTCCTTAATTTTCCTTGAACAAATCTGAAGGTGAGTCTCTTTGCAGGAAATTTCCAAGCCTGTGACTTGGCATAGATTTGGTTCACTTGATATCGATGATGCAGAAGATGAGGCAGGGTCTTACTTCATCAGTGCTGTATGCTGGAAGAGTGATAGCCCCACCATACTAACTGCAAATAGTCAAGGGACCATTAAAGTGCTGGTTCTTGCGACTTGAACATGCAACAAGGAAATATCCAAGAGAAAGCCGGCTTGGTATTTTCTTTTTCTTTGCATTGTTTTGCCCCATTTACTATTTGTACATAGCATTTAAGTGAATAGGGTAGGTTGTAGAAATCACAATTATGTACATCGAAAGCAATTTATATGCAATAGTTTTGACAAAAGAAGCATAAGCTATTGCGCCAGCTCAATATCCATTTTATCCAATATTCATTGGCCTATCATTGAGTATTTGAGTTCAATATGCACCCCCCCCCCCAAAAAAAAAGAAAGAAAATAGTTGTGATTTCCTGATTTTAACAGTCTGACTACGTTAATGTTGGTGTTGTTGCTTTTATATTGCATTCACTTGAACATTGAATCCAGGGGGAAATAAAATATGAAACTGAACTAGTCCCATCCTGAAAAACTTGTTGCATGGAGCTCTTTCGAGTTTAATGAAATTACTTCCCGCATCCTACTCTCTATATGTATATTTTCCCATCAATTCCTCTTTCTCGTTGTTAGTTATTACCATACTGTTCTTCAAGAAATTTATTCTTTTAAAGTGGTAAAATCCTCCAAGCGTCATGATATGCTTAGAAACATTTTCGTATATGGTTGACAGGATACAAAACTTTGCACTTTACTGATTAGTTATTAACATTGATTTCTTCAAGCAAATCATTTTAAGGGCGTCAAATGACGTGCTGTCGTTGGTACAATGTGAGCATATGTCACATTTGATGTCCTTGTGTTAATGTTGTTATAATAAAGTTCAAAAAATGTTATAATAACAGTATTTTATGATAAGTAGTACTTCTTTAATATAAAAATTATCTAGTTAGTTAATTTGAAAAAAATTAGAAAAGTTAAATAAATTACTTTAAAGTATTTACATATATCTTTTTTTTTAAATTGTTTAATTTATAAACTGATATACTTGTTCTAGTCCTTTTTATAAGAACATGATAAATAAATTATGCCGTTTAAAAAAATAGCTAAAATAAGTTAAAACTGATAAATATGTAAGAAATGAATTTGTTTTCACCTTTGCCCTCGTTTATAAAGGAAAAGTGAGGGGGAGAAAGTATGAAAAAAAGTGCAATTTATAAAATTATTTAGGGACAAAAATACTAAAAATATATTAAGTGTTCAGATACCTATAACTGAGATCTTATAAAAAAGATCAAAGCAATTCAAATTTCAGGATTATATAAAAAGGAGCAAAGGGAGTATAATCTAGTTATAATTAAGTCATTTACATAGCTTTCCTAATCTTTCTAAATTAATCAATTGAATTTTCTATTGAGGATAGGAGGTACTATAATTTTTAAATGGTAAAATATAAATATAATAAGATAAAATTATTTTCCCTCGCATAAGATAAAATTATATAACTAACAAATTATTGGTTGAGGTTAGGGCTGGCAAAACGGGCTAACTCGCGGATTGCGAGTTATTTGGGTCAGGCTCAAAAGGCCCGTTTTTTGGCGGGTTGGTATTCTGCCAACTTTAACCCACCAACCTGCCAGATTTTTTAAAAAAATTATTTTCTTATAAATAATCAAAAATTAAAAAAAAATGATTTAAAGTATTCCAAGCATTCACACAAAATTACAACACATTAAAACACAAAATATACAATTGTCCAAAGTTCAAACTCAAAACATGATAAAACACAAGTTCAAACATAAATTTTTCCTACCTTTCCAGCCACCTCCTAATATTTTATATATATAAAAATTAAAAAAAAATTTAGGCGGGATGACCCGTGGAGGGCTCGGGTTGTGGCGGTGCGGGTTCATATTTTTCAGGTGGTGGTGGGTTGACCAAAGGCCAACCCTAACCCGTCTCTTTTGGCGGGTTAGCGGGTTCAACCTGCGGGTCCAACCCATATTACCAACTCTAGTTGAGGTGGTATGCGGCCTCATCGTTGTAAGGAAGATAATATAAGTTCAAGTCCTAAGAAGTATACTTGTTGAGAGAGACAAAAACTCTTTGCGTTTTAAGTCTCCAAAGAAAACACCCTTAATCAAATAAAATAAATAAATAAAATCATATAAGTACTCCTTTTAGCTTTAAACTATATGCAAAAGCCTTTATCAAAATAGAAGATTACATTATACAACCACACAAATTATCTTTTTCAGTTTTCCCCCCTTAAAGCTCGTGGTAAATACTTTTAATAAGTGGATAAACAACTACTATGTATTCATGAAAAATTAACTATTATATTTTTATGAAAAATTAACAGAAAGCAATGCGTAAAAATATTATTGATGAGAATATACTAAACTTACATTAACAAGTGATATTGCTTTTTTCCCCTTGACATTCTCTCTTTCTTGTCTCTAGTTTACATTCTTTCTATTTTCTAGGTGACAATATCGATACTACCAGTTACTCTTTATTCAAGCATTGTCGAATTCCAAATAAAATATTATCTCCCTTTGAATTTCCATCATCCATGAGATGCATATTCTTCTACCTGGCTAAAGTCATGTTACGTAATTTCAAGATCAAATAAATGAATTAACATATATAATAAGCATAGATTAAGCTAATTCCCAGGCATGCGTGGATGTCTCGTTTGGTATATATAATCATTTTATATAGGATTAAAAGATAAGGATCCATATGAATGAATTGAAAAGGGTAAAAGTGCAATTTCAATTTGATTTTATTTCTCTGGTGCCATTTACACTTGATTTTTTTAGAGGTGTAATTTTATCCTCATCCTTTTTTTGGATTAAAATTACATCCAAAAATCAATGGTAAAATTACACCTGAACAATAAGATTATCTGCGTCGTATTATCTTCATAATTTCATGTTTACGGCTATAACTTACCTTGATATAGTGACGGTGTAATTAATATTATATAGATTGTCATCATAGTTAATAATGGGCGGGTAACTTTTATTTTGATATTTTTTTCATGAAAGATGCGTACTGTGAGTGAAATAATTAATCTTTTCCAGCTTTCTCCGGACCAAAACTGTGTTATAAAAATTGAAAAATCATCCTCCGGTAATTTAATCTATTCCTTTTTTAAGGAAAAATGAACATAAAAAATAGATGACTGACAATAAAAGAAATCAAAATATTCCCATTACTGCTTAACAAAAAGCCACAAGGGATCCATCTTCGGGAAGCAGAATGCATCCATAACAATTCTAGCTACCTAGCTTGAATCTGCTAGCTAGTTGCACAGTACACATCGTAACTATAAAAATCATAATAAAATCGTACTCTCACGAGACTTTGGAACAATAAATATAATCACTGTTTAGAAGATAAATAGACAGGGGAAAAGAGAATAATGAAGCCCAAAAGGAAATACATGTGATAATAGCACGTTTAACAAACAAATAGAAGATATGTTAACATTTTAGTGCCGAGCTTCATAGAAATACTATGTTAACAACTTGACCTCCATCTAGAAATTTATTGGACTTGCAAGGTCAAGAAAACTCCAACATTTTGTGTGAAGTTTAACAAAACAAAACAAAGAAGGGGGCAGAACAAGCTCAGGAGAGATATCACCAAAGGATTCACCACAAGATTCCCGATATTGGGTTTGGAATAGCATTGTTGTAACGTTGAGGAGCCATTAAGAAGAAGAAGAGGAAGAGCATCTGCTGCAGTTGCAGAGAATAAGAGGCGGACAGAAGAATGGAAGAAGGTGAAGAAGCAGGAGGGCTTCACATATTCAGTACGTACAAGATGAACAGTGGCACTGGTTAAGCAGTGGGGAAGCGAGTGGGGCTATATATATAAATCAAAATTAGGCTGCCATTAATTCCCCCACATGGACGAAATTTAATATAATAGAGATATATATGTGTGTGTGTTGGGAAATTAGATATTTTTGTCGCAAAAATCAACTGAGAAAACCAGGGTAACAGTAACTCTTTGATTTCACCTCCATATTTCCCATCGGCAACTAGTGTGATTGAGAAGATATTTACCAGGCCAAAATTTTTTTATCATGATAAATAATAATACAATTAATCGTAAAATTATTAATTAATCAAATAAAAGTTTGGTTTGGAGAAGGTAATATTTTGGTTTTGTTTTAGAAGGAAGAGAAAACAAGAGCTCATATTGACTCCTTTCATCTCTCCTCTGCAAGACTCTCTTTCAAGGCGCTTTTTGCCATGCAAGATAAGTAAGATTCAAAGCGGGACCCTATTCAAAATAATTTAATGGAATAATTAAATAAAATCTATGTCTTTAACCTATCCTATTAGGTCAAACAAAGAATGGTCAAAGTTAACATTTATTAATCAATGGTAGGGCTATATTGCTGCCTATTTTTAGAATGTTTGATTAGGGTATTAGACCATTAATTGTGATTGTAGAACAGTGAACACATTTATGAAACAGTTTGAAAAGCAAAAACGAGGGACAGCGCGGAGCAGAGGAATAGACAGAAGATGATGATGACGTGGTAGGAGAGTGACGTAGAGAAAGGCCTTGAAGCGTCACTTTCTGCAGAAAAAGCACATCGTCCTTCTTTCTGCAACTTTCTTCTTTTTTACCTTCCCTCACATTCATGCTCCTCCTCATATTACACCCACCCTCCCTCCATCCATTTTGCTTCCTCTTAAGTACTGTTCCCTATAAATATATACTCTTTTTCTTTTTAATATAAGATCTATTTAACTAATTTAATTAGATTAAAAAAGTTAAGTAAATTAGTTAATTATAAGAAAAGTGACACATTTCTCCTAAAACACCATAATAATCTTCTTTAATACCCCCCTCTCTCTTCTACTTAATTATGGTTGAGAGAGCATCCATAGGGGTAATTTAGAAAAAGTTGATAAATATAAGAAATGGGTCTTATATTTAAGACCAAAACTAATTTAAGAATTGGGTCCTATATTAAGGATCGGAGGAGTATATGTTTTCTCAGGAAATATTAACAATGAAGGGCATCAAACCTCTTCATTCAAGTAGTGAGAGGTTTTAAATAGAGATAATGAACTTTTGGTCCCTCAAGTCTCCGGCGGCAATTTAACTAATTTCCATGGAATGAACTGTATCATTATTCATCACCGTCTTACTTAGCTCCAAAATAAGTCAAGTCTTTTTGTTCATTGATTAAGAACAGTTTAAAAAAATTATTACTCCTGAATAAAAACAAATCACACCCTCTATAACTGTCTTGGAAACAGATGATGGAGTAGTAATAATTCTCTCATTACTTTCACTGTCTTAATTGTACTCGGCTCCTTTTGCCGCCTCTCTATTATAT